AAAAAAAAAAAAAAAAAAAAAAAAAAAAAAAAAAAAAAAAAAAAAAAAAAAAAAAAAAAAAAAAAAAAAAAAAGAATAGGCATTTGAAAACAGACTCCCATTTGTATTAATAGGAAACCTGCATGCAGACAGAGTGCTCAGGATGGGACCATTTATGAAAATAACTGAGGACATGGCCAGTGTCCTCTCTGGCTGCCTCAGTCTCCCCTGCAAGACTCAGCAGACAGCACACACACCAGCTGCTGTTCCCTAGTTTCTCTGCTGGAGGCCATTCCCTGACCATGGAGCAACCCTCAGTCATGGGGATGGGAGCTGGACATGCCACCTTGTCCAGCTGAAGTGGGTGGGATGGCTCTGAGGCGAGTGCCACCCTTCTCTCTGAGGGTCCCGGTGGGATGGTCCCATTGTCCATGCAGTTGCCTTTGCACTCTCTACCCTCCCCTCTCCCTTCCCTGCCTCCTTACAGAGCTTCCTGGGATCATATCCCAGATAAACTACTTGCACCCAAATGCTTGCCTCGTGGTCTGAAAATTGAGAACAGATGTACTGACGGCTCTTTTAAAGACACAGCACTTCCAGGATGCCAAGCCCAATCACAGAAAAGGCCTGAGCCGCAGCAGGGAGACATCACCCTCCCAGGTGTGGCCAGGGCACCTGTGGGTACATTTTGAGCAGGGTGAGGGTCAAGGGTCCCTGCTCAGGAGAGTCACAGTGGGGCTCACAAAGGGTGTGCTGTGCTTCGTGTAGAGCTCTGCTGTTCCAAGTAATCTCAAACATCTGCATAGAATAGCGTGCACTGTGCTGTCTCAAGTCAAAAAATATTTAGAAGCTGAAGAGACAAAAGGAGAAAAAGGGAAGGAAAACAGGGCTGGAGGGGTTTTGACAAAGAGCTCAGAGCCCACAGCTCTTGCTCGTTTTTCAAGTGTGTCTAAGCTGCTCCGTGCCCTTAAAGAAGTTGATGATTCAAGGGGAATAGTGCGCCTGTGGACTCAGAAAAGCCCCTGTGTTCTCATTATTGTTCACCTCTCAGTGAAACGATAAAAAGATGAGAACTCTGAGCACAACCCCAGCTGGTCCCATAAAGAGTACTGCACCTCTTTAAATGTTTGATTCCATGCACTTTGACCCCGGGGCTCTTCGAGAGTGTGGTGTCAGTGCATAGACACGTGCTCGTGAGACAAGGCTGACCCAGGAGGTGATTTATGGGGTAGGAGTGCTTAGGATTAGGAGACACACCTGCCCCATCAGGAGGGCAAGGAGGAAGGTGGTGTGAACGGTTTGTTATGAACTTTATAGACCGTGCATTCCCATAAAACTTTTCTAGCCATCAAAGAAAAGGAGCTGAGATCTGGCAAAGACTTCTCAAGTAGAACACAAAAAGTACTAACCATAAAGGCCAAAAGAAATGAATTATGCTCTGTTAAAATGAAGAACTTCTGTGAATCAAGAAACAACAGTAAGAAAGTGAGAGAGGATATTTGCAATAAATGGGAGAGATACTCGTAATGCATGGAACCAACAAAGGGTTTGCATCTAGAATACGTGAAAAAAACCCCAAAATCTCCCACAGACAATTAAGAAAATGACCCAGTAGAAAAATGAGCAAAAAACTTGAACAGACACTTCACAAACAAGGGCATTTAACCTTAAGGTTGGGGGCACCCAACTGGCTCAGTTGGTGGAACATGTGGCTCTTGACCTCGTGCTTGTGAATTTAAGCCCCACATTGGGTATAGAGATTACTTAAAAAAATTAAAACTTAACAAAAAAACATAAGGCTGGCCAATAAACATATGAGTAGGTGTTTAGTTTCATCAGCCACTACCACTTGATATCTCTACACATGCACCAGAATGGGTAGAATGACAGAGACAGAGAATACAAAGTGTTGGTATGGATGTGTTCTTATAAGAACGCTCTAAAACTGATGATGAGCTTCTAACTTGGTTCAACAACTTTGGAAAACTCTTTGACAGGACTTGCTAATGCTGAAGACATGCATGTTCTAACACTCAACAATTCCACTCTGATGTATGCATCAGACAAAAATGGGTATATCCCATTTTTATGAGGTTTAAAAACAAATAAGAGAAAATTATAGTTTTCTGGGAGTCAGGATAGGGGTTACCTTTCTGTTTAGTTTAAAAACAAAGACAAAGGGGTTGATCGGAAAAGGCAACTTTAGAGCTGCAGCCTCTGACCCCAGCACTGCCATGTGTGCCCAAGCTAAGCAATCGCCTTTCTGTGATTCCTTGCAAGTACCAGACAAATGGTATGGACTGTATTAATTCTTGTCACTGTGATGCTTTTGAGATAGCTGGCATTCATGTCATGCTTTCCAAATGACAAAGTGCTCTGACATCTGTCATCCTGAGCACAGCTGTGGGAGGCAGGTAGGACAGGGCTTTCTCTATTTTTTTCCCTTTTTCCAAATAACAGGCACATAGACGTCAAGGGCCTAAACTGGGTCAGAAGCACTAGACTGGGAGTTCACTTATCAATGTTCATATCCTAGTTCTTGACCCATGTAGTGGCTCCACAGGTGTGTTCACTTTCTAAAAATGAATCAAGCTCTAAATGTATGATCTGTGCATTTTTATGCATGCATAGTATACTATTTATGGTATAACTCTTTATTGAGAGAGAGAAGGCAAGAGAGAAATGCATGCTCTGGTAAGAGAAGATTCTCTGGACCAACCTATCACAAGGTAGAAGCAGGAAAGTGAGGGCTTCACAAGGAAATTACAAGGATAGACCATGTGTGGGGGGAGCCATTTGTCAGAGCAGGAGAAAGGCTGCATGGTGGGTAGTCTTGCAGCTGTTGGCTTCTTTAGGTCAAGACGCACACACTCTTCTCATGAGGAGAATTCCTGCTAGCCTGGAAGTAGCCCCGATGCTCTCCAAAATGAACATCCTATCTATAGCTGGTCCAGGAATAACTCAGGTGAATAATACACAAAAAGAATCAGCACAGGATCTATAGTAATTTGTACAAGAAAGGAAAAGTTATAGGAGGGAGAAAGCATGTGAAGAATATTCACTCACTGGATAATATGATTCTAAAACGGCTAAAAATAATGTGCAAGCACATGTGCATTATTATTTTTTTTAAAAAACACAGTAACTGCATTTTTTGGGCTTTGTTTCTTGTTTTTTAAGTTTATTTACTTATTTTGAAAGACAGAGTGAGTGAGCAGGGGAGGGGCAGAGGGAGAGGAAGAGAGAATCCTAAGCAGGCTCTGTCTGTACTGTCAGCACAGAGTCTGATGTAGGCCTTGAACCCATGAACTGTGAGATCATGACCTGAGCCAAAAACCAGAGTCCAACACTCAACTGATTGAGCCATCCAGGCACCCCTGTTTTTAAATTTTTTTTCACTTGCAAAAGGCAAATATGTAAGAACTCAGGGAAAAGATGGTTAGGTCAAATGAGATAAAATATCAACCATCAGAGCTGGGCAAAGAAACATAAGAAAAAATGAAATCAGATGACCAATGGAGACAACACTGAAATGCTGAAGACAGATACCAGTGAACATACCAGGAGGGTACATGGAGTTGATGACTGAGAAAAAGTGAAATGTAATAAACTAGAAATGAATGAACAATTTAAACAGATTAGGCAGAAATGATAGATATGGAAGACAAATAAAGGAGATGTGACATAAACATAAGTGGGAGGCAGGTAGGATGAGCTTTCTCTACTTTTTCCAATGAGGGGGCAGATGTTAATGGAGGTCAAGGACCCCAAATTGTGCAGAAGCTCAGAACTCTTAAAGAAGAGAACCGAAGTAATGTAACAGAAAAAGTATTTGAATATAAATTCAAGGGATGCCTGGGTGGCTCAGTTGGTGAAGAGTCCAACTCCGGCTCAGGTCATGATCTCGCAGTTTGTGAGTTCAAGCCCCA